GGAGGGGGAGGGGAGGAGTGTTGGGGAGAGGAAATAAATGTGAGAATACTGGATATGACCACTGAAGGGAGAAAATAATGAAAATTTAAGAGGAGCCGGTATTGAAAAACTGTTATACCATGCATGGGTAAATAGCGATCTTCTCTCTCCATACCGATAGCCTATATCATATACTTGTCTTCCAACTGGCTAGTCGGTTATGTCCACAAGAAAAGGGGTGGGAGTTGGGGGGGGGGGTAAAAATTAGAATACAGAGTATGACTAACAGAGGGAAAAATAATGATTAAAATAGCAGGAATGTTAGAATGATTCGGTACAGGAAAACCTTCATGAAGTTTGTTTGTTTGGGCAAAGAGACGCGCACCGACGTAATAATGGTTATTTAGGGCTTGGGAAAAGTAACACATAATATACAGAAACAATTATTACCTGAAACATAAATATTTTAGAAACTATTTCTTTCCTATCAAACATCTATCGTCCTGATCTCCCCTCCTTCTTTTGGTAATTGTTATTAAATCCTATATTGTAACACCTCTTTATAATGCACACAGGAACTGCCAGATCAAACACAACAAGACTTAAAAGATCCAACTTCATCAAAGAAAGCAGAAAGATCCAAAGATCCCTACAGGACCATTTACCAGCCACAGTGAACATACCACAGAGGCACTATCAGGAGAAAAGAAAAGCACAAACATAATTATACAAATGTCCATTCGTATGTTCTTCCCACAAAAGATGATCACAACGACCTGAGCAAGAAATCCCACATCCTGTCCATGCTTGAAGAAAGATACCCCCAAGCAATATGGATAAGGGTCTTTGCGGGACGGATCTGTCACTGATGCTGTGAAAAGAGGAGGAGCCGGAGTGTACGTACAGTTCCCATATGGACAACGACAAGCTGAGGCAGTCTCAACAGGGTGACATTGTACAAACTATAGGGCAGAGACGGAGGCTCTAATACATGCAGCAAACATCATCAAGAATGTGGTAGACCCCCAAAGCCAAGTAGTATTCCTAACTGATGCCATGTCAGTACTGCAGGAAATCACTGTCGGCAAACTACCAAAGCCTCGAGAAGTAATTGAGGACATCCCATCATGTTTGAGGATCATGCTGGAGTGGATTCCATCACACTGTGGTGTCTTAGGAAATAAGTAGGCAGACAGGATGGCCAAACTAGGAGCACAGAAAGAGCAACCAGACACAGCGTTAACTACATAGAAATAAAAACTATTATAAATACCCTATTTAAAGCACCTCAGACACCAGATAACTACCATGAGCTGCCCCGCCAAGAACAGGTGATTATCTTCTGACTAAGAACACAATACACAAGACTGAGACAACATAAAATGTACAAATGTTTTGAACTAGTACAATCACCAAAATGCCAGTGTCGAGGAGCAGACCAAACTATTGAACACATCCTTCAGCACTGCGAGACAAACAGGGCTCTGAGACAGGAAATGTGGCCAACCCCACTGACCCTACAAGAGATGCTTTAGGGGCCGACAGATGAACTGAGCAGTACGGCCCAATTTATGACAGATACCAGACTTCAAGTGTGATGCAATCGAGAAGAAGAAGAAGTAACACCTCTAATCTTTGATACTTATTTAACCTTATTGTATGACGAGTGCCGTAAGACTTCTACTAAAGCAAATAAAATATTGTCAGAGAATTCGTGCTCTAAACCTCTAGAACAACGAAGGAATAATCAGCCACTTTGTCATGTTCAGTCACCCTTGCTCCCATTGTGTATTTTTCTACAATAAAAAAACCCAGTGCCCAAGACGTCCACCTGTTTAAAAAATCTTTGTTTTCTTCAATGATGGGTGACCGTATTGGATATTTACAGTGGTATTCTTTGCTTATCTAAAACAGAAACACTTTAGAAACTATTTCTTTTCCATCACTCACATTTCTTTCCTATCTCTCCTCCTTCTGTCCTGTCACGCAACTATTGTCCTTATGTCTCCTCCTTCATCTTTGTGTCTGTTACTCCTCCTTTTTCCTTGTGTCTATTACTTCTCCTTCTTCTTTGTGTCTGTTACTTCTCCTTCTTCTTTGTGTCTGTTACTTCTCCTTCTTCTTTGTGTCTGTTACTTCTCCTTCTTCTTTGTGTCTGTTACTTCTCCTTCATCTTTGTGTCTGTTACTCCTCCTTCATCTTTGTGTCTGTTACTTCTCCTTCTTCTTTGTGTCTGTTACTTCTCCTTCTTCTTAGTGTCTGTTACTTCTCCTTCATCTTTGTGTCTGTTACTTCTCCTTCTTCTTTGTGTCTGTTACTTCTCCTTCTTCTTTGTGTCTGTTACTCCTCCTTTTTCTTTGTGTCTGTTACTCCTCCTTCTTCTTAGTGTCTGTTACTTCTCCTTCATCTTTGTGTCTGTTACTCCTCCTTCATCTTTGTGTCTGTTACTCCTCCTTCATCTTTGTGTCTGTTACTCCTCCTTCATCTTTGTGTCTGTTACTTCTCCTTCTTCTTTGTGTCTATTACTCCTCCTTCTTCTTTGTGTCTATTACTTCTCCTTCTTCTTTGTGTCTGTTACTCTACTGTAACACCTTGGCACTTCTATGACCTTGATGTGTTGCAAGTGCCGTAAAACTCTTATTACTAAAGCAAAAAAGAAGGAATTGACGGACAATCCATGTACTGTACCTCTAGAGCGATGAAGGAATAAGCATCTATTCTGTGGTGACCAGTCACTTGTGCTCCCATCGTGTCTTTTTCGTCTACTTTATCGTTCGAAAACGCCGTAATAGAAGCAACTTCTCTGAAAGAGAAACGGTATACTGCATTATGGCCCAACCTTAGAGGATCTAAAGCTTTGGTTTATTTTGTTTTGGTAACAGTTTTACGGGACTTGTAACACAATATATAATTAGATCACATTATAAGTGCGAACGATCAGAGAGATTACAAAGGAGTAACAAACACTGAAAAAGGAGGACAGATCAGGACGGCAGATGTTTGATAGGAAAAAAGTAACAAAATACTCCAGAGCACCCACCAACTACCCATGAAGTTGACAGCATGATCTTAGATCTCTGACCCTTGACTACTACGGTAGAGCTAACAAAAACGTGAAATTATAATATACTAGCTGGGCCCCCTTTCAATGAAAGGGATGATCGGTGCATTAACATCAATTGAAAGTCATTGGCCTACTATATTTACACTATATTGGAATGGAGCAATAAATCTTGAGATATGCAAAAAATTAGAATGTCTAGATCTAGATCTATACTCTCAAAACAAAATGCGCCTCGCAAAATATCACTTCCGCTCCGGACTTTCTAAAATTACAGAGACAGAAGCGTCGGCCTACAAAAGCGATCGGCGAAATAAAGAAATTTAGCTTTTTGCTGCAAAACTGTCTCAAAACTGAAAAAAACCAAGGGCGTCATGATCTGGAGAATATTTTAAAGAATCTTTTTTGCGAAAACCGCATGTCGATCGATGCAGCCATTGGAAAGGTTTTTGAATAGCAAAATTCGGCCACCACAAATAGATAATAGATATATATGTTGATGTGAAAATAATTCAATTAACAATAAAACCTAACCAGAGATCTGAAAACCAACCCTAAACCTGTCGCTAGATGCAACCCCAACCCAAGATCAAGTTCTAAACTCAACCCTAACCCTAACCCTAATCCTAACAATAAACCTGTACACTAAACATACAGAACTGCTGTGATCTTCCCAACCCCCATTGTGTAGGCCTAGGTGAACAAAGCAGAAAAAAAAATGATGTTAACACTTGGAGAATGATAACTGTTGTTACAGGTGGAAATTGGGTTAACAATTTTATTTTCTGATTTGTTGCCTAAGATGTGATTTTGTTTTATGCCAAAGATATACATTATACATAAACATAACACATGTGAACATACATACACACACACACACACACACACAC